GAAAAATTTAAATTTACAAAAATGGATTGAAAATGATATATGTTCTATTAATTCAAATGCCTTTTAGGATAGAAAGAAACATGTGGTATCTCTTTCTTACAATTCTTATTTTCATGAATCAAATATTCTTACAAAATATCGTCCTATTTAAACGAATAAAGAATTTTTAGATCATTGTATCAAGGAAATTAAAGATTTGCTTGATAAAGGTCTTATTCGTCCAAATAAATCTCCTTGGAGTTACTCTGTTTTCTATGTTAATAATTCTGCAGAAATAAAACGAGGTACTCCCCATCTCATTATTAATTACAAACCTCTCAGTAAAGCTCTTCAATGGATTAAATATCCATTAACTCAAAAGAAAGATATGTAAACAAATTATATAAAGTTGTTATCTTCTCAAAATTTGATATGAAGTCAGGATTCTGACAAATTCAAATTAAAGAAGAAGAAAGATATAAAACTGCTTTCAATGTTCCTTTTGACTCATATGAATGGAATGTTATGTCATTTGGTTTAAAAAATGCTCCTTCAAAATTTCAAAAATTATGAATGATATTTTCAATCATTTCTCAAATTTTATCATTGCTTTACATTGATGATGTTCTTATATTTTCTGAAAGTATAGAATAACATTTCAAATATTTAAATACATTCATGTAATTGAGAAAAATGGTTTAGTAGTTTCTTTTAAAAGAATTGTTCTTTATCAAACAAAAATTAGGTCTCTAGGACATAATATTCGTCTAGAACCCTTACTCAAATTCAAAGAAGTCTAGAATTTGCTGATAAATTTTTAGATAAAATAAGTTTATACCATTTTTAGGATATATCAATTATGTTGCTGATTTTGTTAAAAGCGTATGACAAATCTGTTCCTCTCTTTTCAAAAAGTTATAAAACAAACCCTGACCCATAAAGTTACGAGCATACAGTAGCTGTACAAAAAGTCAGGAAAGCTATCAAAAATATTCATTGCTTTTCAATTCTTGACCCCACTACCTCCATTATTGTTGAGACGAATGCGTCTAACATAGGATATTGTAGACTGTTAAAGTAGATTGTAAAAGAGTCAAATCGAGGACAATTAGTTAAGTTTCATAATGGAGTATGGACCGGTCCTCAAAAGAATTATTCTACTATCAAAAAAGAGATTTTATCTATTGTACTATGTATTTCAAAATTTCAAGAAATTTTAATTAATAAAAAAATTATTTTGAAAACAGACCATAAAGCATCCTTTACAAAAAGATGTGAAAAATCTTGTTTCAAAATAATTTTTTTCAAGATGGCAGGTTATTTTATCCCGTTTTGATTTTGAAATAATACGAGGTAAATCAAACGTTTTTGTAGACTTCCTTACAAGAGAGTTCATACACAAAAAGGATAGTTGTGAGAATATTTAATATTCAATAAAGAGAGTAAAAGAACTGGGGAGATATTTTATCAAAGGAAGAGAGTGAGATTTCAAAAACAAAAAAACTTTCAATAGCTACCTCTAATGCTCCATTTCAAAAGAAACGTAGTCGTATAAAAAACTACAATACCATTATTTTCAATAGATGATCATTTCTAAGGATCATCATCTAAAAATGAAGAACAAACTTCTTCATCTACTCAAAATACTACCCTTTCAACCTGGGTATTCAAAAAACCCATTCAAACCAAAAATACACCAGACCAAACTTTAAACAAGCTATTCAAGGTTCTAGAAATTTTCCTCAAATAAACCCTCCAAATACCTTTCAATATTTCCTCAAATCAGCCTATATTCCAATTTTTGAGATGGTAACATCTTGGGTAAATAGATATTCATCTCTAAATGAATGTCTTCAAGACCTTTTTCCCTCTAAAATTCAATTTTATGCCTTATAATATCAAAAAAAATCTAAGTAGACCAGCTATCATAACTCATAGGGAAAATCCTCAATCGAAAAACAATTGTTTTTTTTCAAAAATAAGCATTCAAAGAGTGTTGTTACATGAAAATTGCGGACAATAACCATGAAATGAAAAGCGAACGCGTCTCATAAATAAAGAATCACTTGAATCTCATTTTAATTATTTTGATTATAAGAATGTCTAGTATAATGTATTTTACTTTAGACCAGTTAAGCATTCTTGGTTTATTTTATTTCATCAAAATTGTAACCTAAGCTCTCCAAAATGGTTTCAAACATGGATCTATTGTTTTGGACTTGATGAAGATTTTACTCAATCTCACTCGTCAAGGATTCAAACACTTCAAAAAGGAGGCAAAAACCTTTTTAAAGCCTCAAGAAAATATTTTGTTCCAGTTTGCATTCAATATGAAAGTTCATAGATTTTCTGTTGGGACTTTTTTGTTTATCAAGATGAAAGCTCTAATATCGAGTTCAAAGGATTATTCGAAGGTTCAAAGTAAAATGATGGTCAAAATTCCATGAAACAAATTGCTATCCAAAAGCAATAAATTCATGAATTCAAGAACAAAGAAATATCTGTGTATCAAAAATTTCAAAGAAAAATCTAGAGAAAAATGCCGATTTTCTTACAGAAAATCAAGATTAATGCTATTTTCAATTAATACAGAACGTTAGAGGAGTTAGCCATAATTTCTGAAAAAATTGCATCTTAGGCAGAAACTATTTCGAAGAAATCAAAATCTATAAAAGAATCATCTTCTTAATCAGATTCAATATCAGACCATGCCTAGTATTGAAGATGACTGTTATGGAATTGATATTGATGAATTAATTGCTCAAGAAAATCAAAAGAATTCAAAATGACTTATATTGACCCAACTAATTGGGTGAACTTCAAAATTATCAGGCTCATAAGTCTAAAAAGATTCTTTTCAAAATGTGCTTGTCACCTCAAAAGTTGTTCCTACCGACCTTGTCAATTCTAAAAAAAAAGACAATTTTACTAAAGCAACTTTAATACAGTAGATTCCATTTCTCAAAATAAAGTTTCAAGAAAGGCTTCAAAAAGACGACAAAAGATAGTGGAAGACCAATTATTGTTCTTCAAGATTCCTCAAGAAAATTCAAGAAATTTTCAAATCCGGAGTTCAAGAATTCAAACATAAAAGAAGATCAAGATTCAAGACCTTTTCAAGTGTATTTTAGCGAGAGATAAAACAGCTTCAATAAAGTTTGAGAAATCCTTATATTCTTAAATTTTCTTAATCTTTTCAATTAATATTTTTAACTTGTACTTTCAATTTTTTCAATCTTATAATATCAAATTCGAAAATTCAATAAAATTATTTCTTCAATCAAAAAACATTGTTTTCTATCCTAATCTCATATATATATATAATTCATTCTTTATTTCTTGGTATGAAATTAGTTTTTAAAGTTTCTAACAATAAATTATCTAAAAATTCTAAATTATCTAAATTTTCTTCAAATTCTGGGTCTTGGGGGTCACCACGCTTAGCTTCCAACTATGATGATTCTACAGTATTAATAATAGAAGTTTCTTTTCCAAAAATTATGACGTCCGGAGTAATTGTTAAGCTTCCATTTCTGCTTAATAAGAGTTTTATACCTAAAACAAATTCATCTTTTATTAATGAGCTAATTAATGTGGTTGTTAAACTATATTGTCTTTCTTGAAATTTAATCTTACAGTCATCAAACGGTCTTTCTTCGAATCCCATTTTACGACCATCCATTTAACTTCCTCTTATTTCATATTCTAATTTTTGTCTACAATCTTCTGGTTCTAAATCTTTTCTAATTATATTAAATGTGCAGCCTGTGTCAATTAAAGCTATCAAATTTAGTTTTATCATCTATTTATTTGTATTTTTATGAGTATCCTAAGATTTTTTATTGTCTTTACTCTAGATATTTGACAAATTATTTCTTCTTGATTTTATGATTCTTAATAATTATTTTCCATATAACTTTCTATAGGATGTTTACCTTTTATTTCTAGATTTCTGATCTTATATTGTATTTCTCTTAATGTTTCATGTATTTTATCTATTTTATTATTTGTATCTATTATTCGTATTATTATTTATTTCTTCTTTGATTCTTAAACAATTATTACATTGAATTTTTAAACAATTTTTGCAACGATTCTATTTTTATGTCCTGGATATATTTTGTATATTTTACATTTATCCGTCATTGATCCTTGACCTCTAATCCATTTGTGGATACATTCTTGTTCTATATTCATTATCTTTGTATCTAAAATTGAAAATCTAGTTCTTCTAAACTATCATAACTGTCTTCAGAATTACTTGTTATTTCTAAATTATCTAACTCTTCATCTGTATAAATACTATATATTGAGCTACAAGATTTGTTATCTGATAATTTTACAATGTTACATTGTATTTCTTCTATTATCGTAGATTTAGATATATTTTCTTTATTTTTATTTTTATTTGGGCATTTGTTAGCAAAATATCTACGGTCTCTACAAATATAACATTTCCAGTCTTTTTAGTTTTTGGTTTTCTAACATATCTATTGTAGTTAGGTCTTTTGTTTTTATAATATGTCCTACTTAGTCTAATATTATACTTCTTTTTATTTTAATATTGCCTTATATATTTATGTTTTTTTTTATATCTTTTTTATACAATTTTTTCTTTCTTCTTCTATAATCATATGTTTGTGGTTTATATAAATTTGAGCAAATAGAATAATTTAATTACTTTATTTGCTTCCTAACTACTTCTTCTATACAATATTCTTTTAATTTATTAGTTATGAATTTTATGGTGGCACTAATAGTTATTTCTCTTGTTGGGTTTGACTCTACATCTTTTCTAATCTTACCATTCCATGATGGTGGTATCTTTTTATATAATCTTTCAAGTATAGGCATCTAATGTTCATTCTGTTGTGCTTGCTAATCTTTCAGAGTTTAACAAAAATGGTTGTATATATTTCATATTACTAATACTTAATTTTTCAAAATCTTCTAAGACTTAATTTTGTTCATAGGATTATCTCTATTGGGATCAGAGACTATAAGGGGCTGTTCTCTTCGTATTTCAGTCGAAGGAAGCAATACATACATTACCCGCTTGTGCTTTCCATTCACAATCTAATTTCATTGAGAAAAAGATAAATTCTGACCAAACAGAAACTACACAAATTACCAACTAATAGCAGTGATAGTAGCCTTACACTAATATGAGTTACTATCAAACCATTACATGGAAGGTCAGGTAGAGGCCTTAATATTACCAAAAGAAACTTTAAAAAGAAGCAGAATTTTAAACAAGTTATGCCAAATCACAGCATGGCATTCCAAAATCACATTAATCCAAGTATCAGCAAGTTGTCGAGGCATGAATTGCCCAAGGAATGCTTTACTCTTGTAATACAGGGTCTAGACCAGAATCCCAAGTAGCTGTGGCAACCATTCTTCAAAATATTTGATTTCTACATCTGGTTCCAGATTCATGAACATGGATCTTGATACATTGCTTCTTTGAGACGCTGTTGTAAAATAAAATTGAAATTGAAATCCACAAAAGAGAATAGGGCAGCCAATTTTGACCTGATTGAGAACAAAATTAGTATTAATTCAAAATAGCAAAATTATAACACTAATGTTACAATAATTCTCGTGTCTGCAGCAATTCATGTTCATAAGTAAATGAAAATATGCAATGTTTGGCTACATGAAAAGGGAAAATCAACTAACTTTCCCATATTGTAACATACCAGCGATGGTTTTGATAGAAGTTATCAAGCTGATAATACACATAAATGGGATGCTTCATCTTCTTTGGAACCTGGAGAGATGCTCAAAAGTTGTACAATGAAATCAAAATAATAAAGGAGAAAAGTGAAAGTGCTCATGTATTAATACAAAAAGTTTCAAGGGATTAAATTGACAACTAAATTCCTGATATAGGTTTTATTTGTTTTTGCATTCTGGATGAATGAAAGCCTCTCACGCTTTGCTGCCTTGTCGTCTCCATTTGAAGGAATACAAGTGTCATCATATCGGTTGACAATTTCCACTACCTAAATGTAAGAAAAAAGAGAAACTTTTCTAATACTAACCACTGAGGCTGAGAAGAGACTGCAACAAGATATGCTAGAATATTACATGCTCTGATGCAGACAAGGAACAAAGTGTTTTTTAGAACTTCTTGAGAAGCTCAACTTTAGGTAGCAAAAATGCACTAAAATGGCGTCAAACGTATGGATTAATGTTCGTATCCCACTTTAATTCATATCAATACATTGAATCTCAAAGACTAACAACATCATCCACAAAGTAAGCTCTTTTTAGAACAATTGAAAAATAAAACAAAAAGAAATATTGCAAGAAATCAAACACTCAAGTCATTCAAGACAACGTAGATAAAAGAAACTCAATATTTGCTAAACCGAATATCATACCTAGATAAACCCTCTTTCCCAACCCAAATGGAAGATATCAAAGTGATTTCCTAAGAAATCAACAGAAATTTCTCAAATCTCTCGGGTTCAAAACTTTTCGGATTCTCCTAATAGTTCTGATCTCTTCCAATAGTCCAAATGTTCACAATCACATTGGAGTTGAGCGGTATCCGATATACTCCACATTCCTCTAGGCATGCTCTTGGAATTATAGAAACAGGAGGGTGTAACCATAAGGTTTATTCAATAACCAACTTGATGTATTTTAGCATGTGAATGTACGTCTCATTAATTTTTTCTTTCCACTGAACGCTTGCCTTATTGCATTTTGTATTTTTGCCATTACACGCGTGTTTTTCATTAGCTCTACCGTGGCCCAATTAAGTGTTGACATCGAAGATTTCGTTCCAGCTTAATAAATATGTCTTGCAACATTGCAATATTTAGTATTCAGAACAAAATGTGGTAAGGGAAAAGAAAGCATGCTTAACTATATAATTATAAGTCTAAAAAATGACTGCTTTGATATTATCATCGGAAATTTGAAAGTTAAAATTACCACTTTCCTTGAATCTGAGAACAATAACCACCAAATCTTAACAGCCAAACTCCCCATTTGCTTTATTTGTTGCTATCAAATTGTTTCTATGCTCATCAATAATGGTGTCAAGAATAACATCAAGCTTACGCTGTAACTTCAACAACTTAAAATCATTACAACTGATTAAATTCAACACTTTCATCAAGGGAAATAAATAAGCTAAATCAAAATGTCCTGCCAAAGCCAGTAGCTTTCTTTATAAACCTTGTTGACATCTCCCTATCTCTACACACTTTACCAAACGCAGTTCTACATGTTATAATACTTGTACACAAGAAAAAAAAATTCTCTATTAAATCAAATGGTGATTCAGAAGTTGATCGAATCGATTCAACTCGCCACATGGTAAATCCTTCTTGATTGAGGCAAATGATCGAACATTTTTCAGGCTTAACATTTCCAATATAAATTTCCTCGTTTGCTTTCAAAACAAACAAAAAATAAATAAATTAAATACATATTTTACCTTCAGCACAACTGATGCGTGGATAGATGTAAGATCAGGGTTTCTCTCCTTTGGCTTAAAAATGGGTATTCTGAAATAGGAATCTGGAAGGTTTTGATCTTGCTTGAATTTTCGGACTCCGAGGTTCGGTTGGTGTCAATACCAGAAGGATTGGGACTGGGTACATCTATAATTTCTGGGATGGTAGAGGAAGATGATATACAATTTTGAGGAATGAGAGAAAAAATAATTCGAGGAGAGATTGAAGAAGAGGAAGAAGAAAGAGAAGGAAGGGGCCAAGATTTCATTTTGGTTGAGGGAAATGAAAGAAGAGGTGTTTCCCGTGTTTTGGATTTGAAGCGTGTTTTTGTCCCAAAACACTCAAACCATCTTCTTTTTTGGTTTTCAAAAATTCTTTTTCGAAAATGGGAATGGAAACACGTTTTCACCGTTTTGTAAAATCGAAAATAGAAAAGGACCTGAAAACAATAAAAAGAACAGGGTCTAATTAATTCTCTAATAAAACTTGTAAAATTTATAGGATTATCTCCTCCAGTTACTCTTAATCTAATTTCGTCTAGTTTCAATCTTTTTGCTGTAACATATAAGTCTAAAGCTGTCTTTCCTAAATAAGTTTCTAAGTAAACCCACATCTCTTCTACAGTCATTTGTATAGGTACACTATTATATACTCTAATTACAGAATTTTCCCATTTAGTTATAGTACTAGGTATGTCTTGTGGTTTACAATTATCTAAGTCTAAAATTAATCCTTTGTCGCTTTCTAATGGTAAACTACATCCTTCTTCTGTTTTTTCCTTTTTCTAAATTTTTATATTTTTTTATCAGTCCATTTGGAATCTCTTGTAGGGAAAAATGATATTTACCTCCTATGCCATATTCTCTATTCATGGGTTCTTTTCTTTTTCCAAATTCTTGATCTGTTTCTATTTTAACTCTTTTGCTAGTTTCTTCCATCTTGGCATCTATGTCTACTTGATCTTTTTCTTTTAACATTCTAGTTTCTATTTCTCTAACTTTTTAAAGATTTCTATAATATTTCATATCTATATATCCAAATTATTTTTCATCATCTTCGCTTTCGTTTTCTTCACTATCCTCATCTAAAGCATTATTCTCGTCTTTACTGTCATAGTCCTCTATTTCAAAATATCCACATTCTTCTTCATTATATTTTGTCTGTTCTGCTTGATAATTATAATTTCTAAATCTAATGTTTAAAGTTTCATTACTATTTGTATACATAATATTATTTTCTGGTACTAATATTGGTTTTTCCAAAAAATTCCTAAATTCCAATCTAATCCCGCATTTGTTTCTGAAGAGAATTTTTTTGCTGGGATAGTCTTTATACCTTTTTGTCCTAATAATGTAATTATTTGATTATTTTTTAATTTATAATTAGTAGTGCTATTTTCACTAAGTCTTCCTATAAACCCTGTGCAAATTAATAAATTATCTTCATATCTTTTCATTTGATATCCTCGACTTTTTATTCATATTTTAATATCTTTATAGAAATTATTTGTTCTGACTAAATAATCTAGTGTAAAATATACTATTCCACTTTCATTATTCATATCTAATTCTATGCTTCCTAATAATCTCTGTTCTACGTCTGTGAATCTGCTATCATATAAACATACTAATACTTTAACTCCTAAATTTTCTTTATGAAGTCATTTTACTCCTATTATATTAATCCTAAATGAGTCTGTTGGAGATTTTATTAACAATTTCTTTATAAGATTCTTTTTTCTATTAAATCTTGGGATATAATTTGATCTTCATGTGTACATGAAACACATCTTTCTCCATAGTGCTGATATATTAAAGATTTGCTAAATAAATTTCCCTTTTTATATATGTCTAAAGCTTTTACTAATTTTAGTTTATTTCATCTAAATATTTCTATCCGTTCTTCTATATCTATTAAAGATCCTAGTTTTGTTTCGGATTCTGTTTTCGCGAAATATCGGTTCAATGTCTAATTCACTTGAAATCTCTTTTGCATCAATCACGGCTGATTCAAACCCAGTTTCTTTATAGCTTTTGAAAAATGAAATGAGCCCTTTTAAATGGTCTATAGCAACGTCAATATGGATGTCCTCTGTTTATAAATGTTTGCTTACTTTATTAACATTATTCAACACTTCATACCAAATAACCATTCCAAGTAAAACTTCAAAATTCTCCATTTCATATGTTGCCAAACACTCTGCCTCACTTTTTTTCTTAGGATTATCAACTCTTGCCAATTCAAGTAGAGCATTTCTTATTTGTGGAGCTAGAAATCTTATTGCTCTAACACTTTCAACATGACTTTTCCAACGTGTTTGAGACAAATGCTTAAGAGTAAGGTTAGTTACATTATCTTTAAAAAAAATTCATCTTTTAGTAGATGATGAAAATAGAGTATATATACGTTACACCACTCCAAAGAAAGATTTAGCTTTTGTACAACAAGTAGCCATATCATAAAGTGCAAAATTGAGACTATGACACCCACAAGGTGTGTAAAATGCTCTAGGATTTACTTGTAGTAGTTTATTCTGTATCCCTTTATGTTTTTCTTTCTTGTTAACACC